ACCTACCTTTCATTCAAATTATAACTTTTTATTCAAACTTTAAATAAATTTATCATGGAAACAAACTTGAGTTGAGACACATGTCTGGCCCAAGTAGTGCTGGAAGTATTGGATTAGGACCAATACGCGAGGAAGATAGCACGATCGATGTACCAAAGAGCAATGTCCCGCAAGAAGATCTAGTTGAACTATTACCAAATGCGGATGAAAGGACAATAAACCTAAGTGACGATGAGCGTGATATTGAAGAAATATCATTTGGAAAGAGGAAATTGACTTCAACTGTGTGGGAGCACTACAAAAGACAAAAAGTTGGTGAGAAATGGAAGGCTGTATGCAATCATTGCAAGAAACAGTGGGGTGAAACAAAAAATGGTACAAAGCATTTGCATGATCATTTGAAGAGATGTGTATTCCGTTATAAGGATAATACTCACCAAGTAACATTAAATTTCAAAAAGGATGCCACGAGTGGTAAGGTCACAATGGGTACTTACTCTTTCGATCCAGATAAGTGTAGATATAGTCTTTCGAAAATGATGATTTTGCATGAGTATCCTTTGTCTATGGTTGATCACATTGGATTTCGAGAGTTTTTACACGACCTACAACCATTGTTTAAGGTTCCTTCTCGCAACACTTTTAAGAGCGACATTTTGAAAATCTATGAATACGAGAGAGCCAAAAATATGATTGCACTTGAAAAGATTGAGAGTCGAATTTCAATCACTACGTCTCTTCTAATCAAAAGAGAGGATTCATGGTTATCAGTGCTCATTTCATAGATGATGCGTGGAAATTACAAAGTCGAATCATGAGGTATAGTAAAACATTACATTCACTTGTTCCCATAATTTACCAAAATGATATTCTTTTAGTTGATTTAATTTGTTCTTGAATGAACTCAGGTTTATATATGTGTCATGCCCACACACTGCTGATGTGCTTTCAGAAACTATATTGAGCACCTTGATGGACTAGAATGTTGATTGTAAGTTACTAACTTGGGCCGTAGATGATTGCACCACAAATGATGCAATAATCAATATTGTGTTAAGTCAACTTTGTACTAGTTCTCTTGTACTGAATGGTGAATTTTTTCATATGAGGTGTTGTGTACATATATTAAATCTTATTGTGAAGGATGGGTTTGACGTTATTAGTGGTAGTATTGAGAAAATTCGTGATAGTGTTGCTTATTGGACAGCCACGTCAAAGAGATCTGAAAAATTTGAGCTCTTTGCACGTCAATTGAAAATTTATTGTGAGAAAAAATTGGCGCTTGATTGTAAAATAAAGTGGAATTCAACCTATTTGATACTTAGTATTGCTTTGATTTATAAGGATGTTTTTCCATGTTTGAAATAGAGGGAGTCACGATATAAATGTTTCCCTAGTGATGGTGATTGGGATTTAGCAAAAGAATTATGTGAGAAGAAGTTAAAGGTTTTTTTTTTT